AAGTTCACTCATGGACCTTAACACGTTTCCTACTTTATCTCCCATCGTTTTACAATAGATTTCACAATAACAATACAACGATCACATGTCAAGGTTTTAGTTTTGCAAGATGAAGTTTTAATGCTAGTCAGAAAAACTTAAATCATAAGAATTACTATTTACCTATAGTTCACTTACATGTAAACTAGATCTACCCGCTCTTCTCTAGCACGGTCACGACACTGCGGTCTTAACAGCTTGCTATGGGCACTGTAATGGGTGCCGTACAGCTCCTGTTTGTGGAATCACTGTCTGTCTGTGCTCTACGGCTTACTTACTTTCCAACCCACAAACCCACACTCACTTTCCCTCCTCTCCCCCAGAGCAGTCAGTGCTCTTAACCACTGAGCCATCTCTCTAGTCTAAAAAAATTAGTTTTTCACAAAAGGGAAGAACGTGAACCTAAAGCGGCCTGACATGGTGAGTATAACTCTTACCACACCCTGGGCATCTACAGGACAGAATGCTTTACCAATTTGATCTTAAATTTTGTTCCATCATAACAGAACATGGAAGTGTCTTTAATCCTAACACTAGGAGGCAGAGGCAGGCAAATATCTGTAAACTCAAAGACAGCCAGTTCAGACCAGCCAGGGCTGCAGAGTAAGACTGTCTCCAAAGCAAAACCAAATTATAAAATAAAAAGGGGGAGGGGTCAATCTGTTATGATTAAAAAGTCATCTAAAAACAAAATGTAAAAATGAAAAGACGGGGCTGGAGAGATGGCTAGGCCATTAAGAGCACTGACTGCTCTTTCAGAGGACCTGAGTTCAATTCCCACCAAACACATGGTGGCTCACAACCATCTGTAATGGGATCTGATGGCTTTTTCTGGTGTGTCTGAAGAGAGCTACAGTATACTCAAATACATTTTAAAAAATTAATTAAAAAATAATGAAACCTATAAATAAATAAATAAATAAATAGGCTCAAAAAACAGCCACCACCAAAAATGAACCACCCAAAAGTACAGTGGCAAGCACTGGGGTAAGATCACTGTGTACTGAGTGAAGTGGTTACTACTTAGAACCCTCACAAAAACAGAATACACAGTAAACATACGGTTTGCAGGACAGAAAACAAGACTGCCGAGAGTCTCCATCATTTGTGTTCTCTACTGTCAAGTCTATGATCTCTACCTTTCCAATAAAGTGACTAGTTACCCTAAATAATGCTACTTTGCTACAATAATTCTCTGGGGTTCAGCATGTCTTCCTGGGAAACCAAAAGTCTACCCAGAACTTACACAGTGAACCTATGTTTACTTCAAAACTACATCGACTGGGGATGGTGGTGGCACACTCTTGTAATGCCAGCACTAAGGTCTGCCTCGGAACTACACTTCAGTTTCTTGTCCCTCACAAAAGATCCTTAGCTACCCCACAGAACTGTAAGGATCAAATTCAGGAACGAACCAGCTCAGTGCCTAGATCTTGTCTAGGTCTTAAAACTCTTTCACTTCAACCTACCTGACAGATCCTACAGTCTTACCAGTAACTGTGGCAAAGAAGGGCGGAGTCCCCACCCAGTTATGTCCCTTTGTTCTGGTGTTCCTGCTGAATGCTGGGTAAACAGGAGCTGGGCACCTTCGCTGGCTTTAAACAAAACGAAACACACACAAACCTGCACAGCCCTCCCCATTATTCTCTCTACTCCTTGTCACAAGCCTTGCATTTCCAAGATGGCAGAGCTGTAAGACCCACTCGTCTGTGGATAGAACTAAACTGTTTTTTCCTGCATTAACATAAAATCACAGAATACTTCCAGGGGAAAGGGCATCAGAAAGACACCAGAACCTCCACCCTACAGTATAGCTGGTTCCAAAAGGTGAGACAAATACCAAAACAAGACCAGACATAGCTATCAACCCAGCACTCAGGAACAGGAAAGAATACTTCAAGTCCCAGGCAAGCCAGGACTGCAGAGTAAGATGCTGCCTCAATTAACCGCAATCAAAAAAAAAGGGAGAGGGGGGAAGGTGGTGGGGGCATTACAACACACTATAACTACTGTGTAAGTAGTTATTTGTGTGGATACCCCATAACTATATGAGCCACCCAGAGTTCTCTACCACACTGTGCACTAGTGCCTCCACATACAAAAAATACTATTCAACATCTTAGCCTGGCATTCATGGACTTTTCCTCTAGAACCATGTTCTTTTTCTATAATCTTACTGAAAAGCCACAAAGTTAGGGAATCATGAAATCATTTCTTCTAACTTTTTTTTCTACTTAGTTTTTGTTTTGGTTTTTGGTTTTTGGTTTTTCGAGACAGGGTTTCTCTGTGTAGCCCTGGCTGTCCTGGAACTCACTCTGTAGACCAGGCTGGCCTCAAACTCAAAGAGAGCCGCCTGCCTCTGCCTCCCAAGTGCTGGGATTAAACGCGTGCACCACCACTTCCCAGCTTCTAGTTAGTTTTTCAAGACAGGGTTTCTCTGTGTAGCCCTAGCTATCCTGGAACTCGCTCCGTAGACCAGGCTATCCTCAAACTTGGAGATCTGCCGCCCTCTGCCCCCTGAGCACTGGCGTGTGACCCAACATCCAGCTCCCAAACCTTCTTACAATGCTAAAGTGTACAGACTGATACTGAGCTGAGTACATTTAATCACACTTTCAAGACTCTAAACCTTTCTCAGGATGTAGTAAATCAGAGGGCAAGGTCTTGCCTATGAAGCTCAAGCACCAGTTCGATCTTCAGGCAAGAAAAAAGGGTGAACCTGCTCTAACAGTAAACAAATGCAGTGCCATGCTTCAAGTACAGAATACAAACTACAACTACTTGAGGAACACAAAACACTACCTTTTTCTTATCGACCCTCCCCTACATATGCCCTTGTAGGACAACAAAGATCTGTGATCTACTCACAAGTGGTTCGCCTGTAATTCCAGCACGCAGGAGACAAAGGCAGGTGGATCTCTATGAGTTCAAGGCCAACCTGGTCTACAGAGTGAGTTCCAGAACAGCCAGGGCTACACAGAGAATCCCTGTTTCAACCCCCCACCCCACCCCCCCAAAAAAAAAACAGAAACAAAAAAAGAACAAAAACAAAACAAAAAAAAGAATGGAGGCGGGCTGGAGAGATGGCTCAGTGGTTAAGAGCACTGACTGCACTTCCAGAGGTCCTGAGTTCAAATCCCAGCAACCACATGGTGGCTCACAACCATCTGTAATGAGATCTGATGCCCTCTTCTGGTGTGTCTGAAGACAGCTACAGTGTATTCATATATAATAAATAAATAAATCTTTAAAAAAAAAAAAAAAAAAAAAAAAGAATGGAGGCAAGATGGCTAGATGAGTGACGGTGCTTACCAGCAAGCCTGACTACAACCTGTCCTCTAATCTGTACATGTTAGTGTGTACACATGTACCTACACGTATAAATAAATAAAATGTAATAAAATTATTTTTTTTTAAAAAATGAATGAACTAGGAGCTGGACAGATGACTCACTGGATAAAGTGTTTGCCACTAAGCCATGAAGCCTTGAGACTCCCGGCACTAACATGAAAACTAAGTGTAGAGGCACGGATCTGTAGCACTAGCCTTGGTGGAAAAGCCAGCCATGGGAACCCCAAGGGCTCAACGCCAGCCAATCTAGCCAACATGTCCAACTCTAAAGTCAGTAAGCAATCAGTGTCAAAACATAAGCACAAGCCTTAAATCCCAGCACTTTAGGCAGAGGCAAGAGGATCTCTTTGTGAGTTTGAAGCTAGCCTGATCTACAGAGTTCCAGGATAGTCAGGACTGTTACACAGAGAAACCCTGTCTTGAAAAAAATAAAAAAAAAATAAAAAAAATAAAAAATAAAGAAATAAAGGTAGAAAATAATAGCAAGAGACAGCTTTGTTTGGATCTCAGGCAAGTGCACACCCACACACACACACACACACACACACACACACACACACCAACTATACCACATATGCATACATACACAAATAACAAAGAAAAACAACTACTATTCTTCCTGGCAAGTTCAAGAAGCACGTAACTGAAAATTTAGACTTGCAAGTGTGCTTGCTTATGTTTTTGAAACAGAACAGGAAAAAAAAAAAAACTAGAAACCCTAGAAAAGATGTGTTTCCTTTTTCTGATAAGCACTGGACTGGCAATATCGAATGAATCTTTACAAACGGCACCTATACCCAACTGCCAAAAGCAGACTTAATCAGTCCCACCTTCAGCAAACAGAGCAAGCTAAACTCTTTGTCAGTAAAATAGATTTATGTTAAAAAAAAAAAATGAAGTCAAACATGGAGCTCAAGTCTTTAATCCCAGTACTGGTCAACCATTGTGGATTCAAGGCCAGCCTGATCAACATGACCTACATGAGAGACCCTGTCTCTAGAAAAAAGTTAATGAAAAAAAATTAATGAATATCAACTGAATTCTTAGAACAAGAGATGGTTAAAACCTAAAAGGCACAATCAATCCTTACTTTGACAAACTTCAAGTAAGCAACTGATTCCTTAATTTCCACTCACTTTCAACCATAACATCTTTTTATTTCAGTAATTCTTTTAATTTTCAATTTACAACATCTGTCAAGTTTAGTTCTTCTTGGGAATTTAAACATTCTTACATTGTTTCCAAATAACAGGATCTTAAAATTAAGTCACCCAAGCTGAACAGAAAAGCTTTGCTTTACATTGTCCTGTAAACCCAAACAATTCTTAAGAGCATGCCAATGATGAAAAATAATTCTGTTAAAAGACATTCCTAGAAATACCTTGTGAACATTAAAACACTCTTGAGATTTCTTTAGTGAATTTACTATAACACCAGAATGGTAAATAAGCCAGTGGCAATTACAATAACCAACCATTCTAAAACAAATGACTCTTGTTTACAACAAACTAAATAAGCAATCAAAGAGTTTTAAGACAGTCACTGAAAGCAGACAGCCTAAGCAGACAGTGATTACAAGTTTCAAAGCTGAAATAGGGAACTTTTTTTACCTGGTGTTCTGCATGAATGTTATCCCCTGTAGGCCATCGATGTTTGCTAGTATTATAGCCGCCTCCACCACTTCCTCCTCCCCCAAGCTGCTCACCATGCTGCCTCTGAAAGAAGTAATCCACCATAGCGTCGTCCTGGGAACGGCCTGCAACTCCTATGGATCCTGGGACAGGGCTGGAGTGTGTCCCAGCTGCAAGAGCCTGATTTGCAGCTGGCTGTGGCTGCGCTTGCGACCCTGTTCCAGATGTCAAAACAACAGGCATGTTGGGATTAGCTGGTTCTTGAGGGTGATGTTTCAGGTGGGGGCTGAAAGAGTCCTGCCAAAGCACTGCTTTTCTCTTCAAGACACATGCAACGCTCATTCCACCAACACCTGAGAACAAACAGTTAACAGATGTTTAATGCTTGCATTTTTAAAAAACAACTCCATATACTCCAGTACAAAATGCTAAACCATTCCCTCTCTTCTGCAAGTCAATACTGTCTAACTGTCTCTATCAAGAAGTCAAATGTCTTCTGAAGTCAACAGTTTCCTGAACTGAACCTCCTTTGAAGCTGCTGGGCCTGTGTGTACAGAAAGGTCAACAGCAGCAGGTACTCCAATAAGTGCTGAGATGAGGGCCCACTACGTAACCAGAGCTTTACTAAAAACTAATCATAGACAAGGATCTTGCCTAACGTGCTAGGACCTAGGTTGGAGCCCTAGAACCACAAAATAAAAAAGTAAACAAACAAACAAGCAAAATAGCTATGTGGAATCAGAATTTAATCAACAGCTTCCTTACTCAACTGACTTCCTCCTTAAGTCAACTGGACTTAAAAATAAACAGCTATTTTTTTTTCCTGAGGTGAGATTTCATGTAACCCAGACTAGCTTTGAAATTAAAAGGTAGCCAAAGCTGGCCAAGAACTACTGATCCTACTTCCACCTCCTGGGTGCTGGGATTACAAAACTGTGAGCAGGAACTTTTGAAAGCATCCTTAAGTTGATAGGCTGGAGATGAGCTCAATGGAGTGCTGGCCTAGCCCTAGATTCAATCCCCTGGACTCCACCCCAGGCCCCACAGACTCAATCTCATGGACCCTCCCCACCTCGTGCCCTAACTAGCTTCAAAAGAATTTACAGCTATAACAAACATGTCAATAACCAAACAAAAGTTAGACTCTGTAACTTAAAAGGATCCTTTAAAATATCTAACATGTTTATGGGACAATACCCAGACCAGGCGTGGTTTTTCGAGACAAGGTTTCTCTGTATAGCCCTGGCTGTCCTGGAACTCACTCTGTAGACCAGGCTGGCCTCGAACTCAGAAATCCGCCTGCCTCTGCCTCCCAAGTGCTAGGATTAAAGGCGTGCGCCACCACCGACCAGCTAGGTATGTTTTTATAACATGGAGAAAAAAAAATCAAGAGTTTTATCAATACCTTACAAATACAATGCTACTGATTAACTCTTAGAAACAGGACAAGACAAACCCAACTCACTTTGCTTGTACTAAACCTCACTGTAAAAACCAGGTCTGTCTCACCAGTCATAGGGTAGCAAATAAATGGCAGACATTCTATCATCACAGAAACACTGAAAGGTAAGCATTATTAGCCCTGTTTTTTACAGGTAAAACATTACAGAAGCCGGGCAGTGGTGGTGCACGCCTTTAATCCCAGCACTTGGGAGGCAGAGGCAGGCGGATTTCTGAGTTCGAGAGTTTGAGGCCAGCCTGGTCTACAGAGTGAGTTCCAGGACAGCCAAGGCTACACAGAGAAACCCTGTCTCAAAAAACAAAAAAACATTACAGAAGTTAGGAGCCCATGGTCATCCAGTTGGTCTACAACTTGCTACGTACAGCAGGCTGGTCTTGAACTCACTGAGATCTGCCTGTCTGAAGTATGGGATTACAGATGTAAACCACCACCCCTTTGAGTATCTGTAGTACATTCAACTCCAGAGAGCCAACAAAGAAATCAAATCTTACTAGGAACCATTGCTACTTAAGTTCCATAAGACCAAATAACTTAAGTTCCATAAAACCAAATAACACCAGAGAACTTCTAAGGCTAGCAACACTGTTCAAAACAAATGAGAAACCTGTTTTCTCTCTTTTTTGAAATATTTTGTCTTCTGTTATATGTGTTTTACCTGTATGTATGCATATCATGTACATGCAGTGTCTGAGAAGGCCAGAGGCATAATAGCCTCTAAAACTGGAGTCAGGAATGATTGTAAACCATGTGAATGCAGGGAACCAAACACATGTCCTCTGCAGAAGCATCAAGTCAAAAGTGCAAAAGCACTGAGCATCTCTCCAGCCTGCAGCCATCCTCTCTCATTGGGTAAGTAACCTCCTGGAAAAGTGACCCTACCTTCCCACAACTCATTCAGGTTATGAAGCTAGTAGAGGTCGCATGGAACCTGCAATCCATTCAAAGCCTAACTTGCAATGCCAGCACTCTAGGAGAGCAAAGCAGGGGACCTCTTTCGAGGTCAGGGGAGTTATACTGTGAGTTTTAGCAAACATGGATTACAGTAAAATTCTCTCTCAAAAAAAAAAAAAAAAAAAACAAACAAGACAAAACCAAACTTCTGCTTTGGAAATGCTTAATGTAAATCAAAAATTCCAATTCCCTTTTACCTACACACACACAAACACACACACAACTAAACCTTATACTGGAATAGTTTTAGCCTTCTAGGCTCTCATGAATAAAATGCTGTCTAGGTTCAAGTACAAACCCAGAAAAGTACAGGTGTTTCATTATTAGCCTCTACAAGTACACACCAGCCTAACTCTCCTCTCTACGAACCTTAGTCCACTCATTTGCTTCTACAAGAGAATCTCCATCTCTTTACTTCAGGCCAACTAATACAAAATTCAAGTTTTACCACCAAACTAACAACCTCTTTATCAGTTTCCAAAGACAGTTTTTTTTTCCCATGCCTTGATTTTTGATAGCTTTTAATCAATAAGTTGAAAGGTATAAAGTTCTTTTTTTTTGTTTGTTTTTGTTTTTCAAGACAGGGTTTCTCTGTGTAGCCCGGGCTGTCCTGGAACTCACTCTGTAGACCAGGCCAGCCCCGAACTCAGAAATCGACCTGCCTCTGCCTCCCAAGTGCTGGGATTAAAGGTGTGCGCCACCACCGCCCGGCTAAAAAGTATAAAGTTCTAAAGTTTCTGAAGTCACTATGCTTAAGACTCCACAAATTTAGTTACCTACACCAATCAAGGCAACAGAGCCTCAATCACCAAGAAGATTCATAAGATAGTAAATGCAGTATTTTCTAACATAAAAGAGCTGCTAAAAGTTACCTATGAATTTTCATATTAAGAACAAGTTTAGGCTGGGCAGTGGTGGCGCACGCCTTTAATCCCAGCCCTTGGGAGGCAGAGGCAGGTGGATTTCTGAGTTCGAGGCCAGCCTGGTCTACAGCCAGGACTACACAGGGAAACCCTGTCTCAAAAAACCAAAAAAAAAAAAAAAAAAAACAAGTTTAGCTGGCCAGTGGTTGTGCACACCTTTAAATCCCAGCACTCAAGAATGGAAAGCTGAGGGGCTGGAGAGATGGCTCAGCGGTTAAGAGCACTGACTGCTCTTCCAGAGGTCCTGAGTTCAATTCCCAGCAACCACATGGTGGCTCACAACCATCCGTAATGAGATTGGATGCCCTCTTCTGGTATGTCTGAAGACAGCTACAGTGTACTCATCAATAAAATAAATATTTAAAAAAAAAAAAAAAAAAAGAATGGAAAGCTGAGCCAGATGGATCTCTGGTTTTTTTTGTTGTGGTTTTTTTGTTGTTGTGTTGTTTTTTTCGAGACAGGGTTTCTCTGTGTAGCTGTGGCTGTCCTGGAACTCACTCTGTAGACCAGGCTGGCCTCAAGCTCAGAAATCCGCCTGCCTCTGCCTCCCAAGTGCTAGGATTAAAGGCGTGCGCCACCACCACCCAGCCAGATTGATCTCTGAATTTGAGGCCAGCCTAGTCTACAGAGTGAGTACCAAGGTAGCCAGGGCTATAAAGAAACCCTGTCTCAAAAACCAATAAATAAGTAAACAAACAAATAAATGATAAAAGATTGTCCCTGAAAGCAATCTCACTCTAAAAAATAACTGGGGAGGGGTCAGTTACAAAAATATTAAAACAAAACAATTGGCCTTTGTAAGGCTGTCTGGAACCCCTGAGACTTCCTGCTTTACCTAACCAGGCATTGCAGTTTCTCAAACAAGAGAAAACCTGGCAAGAGGGACAACTTAAAAGTGAGCAAACACCTAAACACTAACATGTGTCCGAGGGATTTTTGTTAACATCTTGGCAATGACAGAACAAAAACTAATCATCAGTCCCCTAAGTACCAGAAAACAAGAAACTGATGGTACCTTTCCGGGAACTCTCAAAGCTCACTAAAAAGGTATATGCAGTATGTAAAATGTAACTTTTTTAAGCAAATGACATACTTAAAAGCAAATATTTTAAGCAATACAATGAAGTAGCAAGTCTAGGTACTTCCTAGCTTTCAACCTGTGTGAAGATCGCCTTGTAATTTGTTTTTACCTTTTAAAAAAATATCACTAATAGTAGTTTTCTTTAACCGAAGGGGCAGGGTTTAATCTATCTGCTTTTACCAAGATGCTCAGGTTTAAAAGGGGTTTATTTTTACTACACTGAACAAACTCTCTGTGGACATAAATTTAACTTAAAGCAGTTCACAGACACAAACTAAACAAATCCCAACTTCAAAAAGCTGTAGCCTCAGACAAGATGAACTCAAGCATGGAAAGGCAAAATACTAAAAGTTCAGAACCCAGTATTTCCAAACCATCAGATAAAGATACACAGTCCCTAGTGTTTTACAAAGTTACAATGAGCGAAGGGTCAAAATGTTCATTTGTTTACTGAAAACCCCAAAGGAAGCTGCTTATCTTAAAGGGAGAACCACATCAGTAACTTTTACACCAAAACAAAAAGCTAAAGCTACAATCCTGTCTTCAGAAGTAACTAGCTTTAAAAACTGAACGCCCAAAAGCCCTCATAAATCATCTTAATAATCCCAGTAATTAATGGGGTGAGCAAAATGATCAAGTGTAACGAAGCGTTATCATAATTTGCACAATGAAAACGAACAATCCTTCAAAGTTATGATGAGGATAAAGCCTTCTCTGGTCATCTGTGTGGGAGTTCTTCGATGTGGGAGGGGAGCTCTTGGGAAGAGGGGTAAGCTTCATTGGAGAAAAGTTACAGGAGTGTTCCTCACTTTAGCGTGGGAGTGGTAGACGAGTAAAACAAATGACCCAGGTATTACCCACCGCGTTCGTGAGGAAGGAAACACTGAGTAGATATCTACATATTTTTCATACTACCTACTGAAAGCCCCTTGGAGAGGAAAGCACAGCAACACAGGGAGGCTCTGAGAGGAAGAACACCCACCGCCTTAAGGGGGGGAAACACATACTTACACACACACACACACACAAGCTCTCACACAAACAAAAGGCCACAAGAAACCCAGGAGCTTAAAAAGCGATCCGAAACTTCCTGATGGCCACCTCGCCACATTTAAGGCTTGCAAAATCGCCCACTCCCCCACCACTGGGGGGGCTCGCCCGAAGACCGGGACCCACCGCTGCTTTCTAAAGCGATGTATTGTTCCTCCCTCGGCGCTGCCACAGAAGCTCCAGAAGTCGAAGGAGCCCGCGGGAGCACAGAATCTCCACTCCACGGCCACAAGAGAGGACCTGGGGCTTCGCAGACCCATCCAAAAATAAATAAATAAATAAATAAATACCAAAAAAAAAAAAAAAAAGCCGAGCCGAACGGCAACACCAACCTCCAGGGACTCCCAGCAGAGCCGAGGAGAAGCACGGAGCCGCCGCCAGCTGCGGGCCGGGCCCCGGCCGCGGCCCGCTCCCCACCCCCTCCTCGCGGATAACAATAGGGCCTCGCTGCCGCCTCCCAAACACGTACGAGCGGAGCGAGCGCGGAGCCTCCGCCAGGCCCGGCGGCGTCTCTAAGCCCTTCTCGCCCCGCCAACCGCTGCCAAACGCCAATACGAAGGGCTCATCGGCTCGCTGGGGGTTCGGAGCACGGTTTGGGACTACCAGGGCGCAGATACTCACGGGCGGAGCGGTAGGATGAAGATGGATTCCGGCCCCCCGATCTTCGCTCGCCGGCGCTCTCGCTCCCCCTTACCTTTCACTCCGACAACATGGCGGCCCACTGGGGACTGGGCTGACGCGGTGCATCATGGGAACGGCGCCGGCCCCGGCTCCGGCGGTGGCAGCGGCGTGTGCGGAGCGGGCGGGCGGCTCTGGAACAGGTTGCCCGGTTGCCATGCCAACCACAGGGCCTGCGTGAACTCGGAGAAATTCGCAGGCCACACAACCGCTGTGCCCGCCCGCTGGGGCGAGCGCGCGCCGCCGCTTAGGAGCGGGGTGGAAGGCGCGGGAGCGCGCACGGAGTACCCAGGCTGCCATAGGGGGAGGGGGACGCCGACATGGGGCTGTGCGTGGACCTTGGCACAGCCAGGCCCGAGGCTGGGTTCGAACCCCTTCCAGCCTTCTGGTCCCTGGCCTTATTGCATCTTCCTCCTGCCTCCGTTTCCCCAGTGTAACATATGAAAGAGAAGAACAACAGAACGACCATGCTAATGGAGGGCAGGACCTCAACCTAATTTGCAGGATCTGGAACACAATGACAAAGCCAGGACCCTGTTCAAAGGTCATAAGAAATATCAAGACGCCAACTAAGCAAATTAGGCTGAAAACTAGAAGCTAGAGGTGTTTACAAGCACACCATCATTTTGGTTGGTTGGTTGGTTGGTTGGTTGGTTGGTTGGTTGGTTTGGTTTGGTTTTTTATGTGACAGGGTCTTTTGTTGTAGCCCTGGCTGGTCTCTAACCTACTGAAATCCACCTGCCTCTGCCTTCAAGAACCATCCTTTTTTCTTTTTGATTTTTCAAGACAGAGTTTCTCTGTGTAGCCCTAGCTGTCCTGGAACTCACACTGAAGACCAGGCTGGCCTCGGAACTCACAGAGTTATCCCCAGTTCTGCCTCCTGAGTATTGGGATTAAAGGCCTGTGCCACCACCTTGCTATTTCTTCTTCTTCTTCTTTTTCTTCTTCTTCTTCTTCTTCTTCTTCTTCTTCTTCTTCTTCTTCTTCTTCTCCTTCTTCTCCTTCTTCTCCTTCTTCTTCTTTTGGGACAGGGTGTCATATAGCCCAGGCTGCCCTCAAACTCACTGTATAGCTGAGGATTACCATGAACCCCTGAACTACTTCCATACTGTCCTACTTCTGCGATTACAGACATGTTCAATCACATCCAGTTTATGCAGTGCTGGATACCAGACTTAGGACTTCAGGCATGCCAGGCAACACTCTACCAAACAAGTGAGCTACATCCCAATGTTCAAACTCGAGAACATACTGTATTCAGAAAGCCAGCTTGAAACCAGACCTGAAATGACTTAACTGAACCTTCATTTCCCACACTGCTAACAATAATTTGTGAAATCAAGTAGATAATACATTTAGCTCCTCCCTCAGCCCAGGGCCCTGGACAGTACTGAATGACCATAGTACAAAAACACACAGGAGGAAGAAAGATGGCAGATATGAGAAAATTACACCTTTCAGCTTCTTACCAGACTCTGGGCTCCATACTTTCATCCTGAGAGACATAGTTAATTCCTTTGTTTGTTTGTTTGTTTGTTTGTTTGTTTGTTTTCCAAGACAGGGTTTCTCTGTGTAGCCCTGGCTGTCCTAGATCTTGCTCTGTAGACCATGCTGGCCTCAACCTCAGAGATCCAACTGCCTCTGCCTTCTGAGTGCTGGAATTAAAGATGTGTGTCACCACCATCCAGCTTAATTTCCTTAGTTTTAACTTCAGCTTCGTCATTTATTTAGTGAGATTTTAATGCTGGTTTAGCCATAGTCGGGAAATATTAGTCTTAATGGCTCTCTATTCAATCAGGTGAGGCCATCCCAGCCAAGTAAACATCACCCACCTCTGAGCTCCTTAAAGAAATTGCTTTCAAAGGCCCTAAGACACAAACCCAGCCCCAGAATAACCCTATCAGAGCACAGCCTCCAGCAGACTCATGAGACTGCTGTTATCAAGTGTGACATATGCTACTGCCCTCAGACCTTTATTCATTATCCAACTTAAAATTTCCAAACTAAAATAAACAATAAATAAATAAATAAGCCGGGCGGTGGTGGCACACGCCTTTAATCCCAGCACTTGGGAGGCAGAGGCAGGCGGAGTTCGAGGCCAGCCTGGTCTACAGAGTGAGTTCCAGGACAGCCAGGGCTATACAGAGAAACCCTGTCTCGAAAAACCTAAACAAAAATAAATAAATAAATAAATAAATAAATAAATAAATAAATAAATAAATCTGCCAGACTACAAAACAGTAATCATAGTAGATGCGACACCAGTATTCCTGTTTTAAAATGAGGAAACATAAACTGGGCATAGTGGTGTATGTCTTAGTCCCAGTACACAGAAGACAGAGGCAGGTGGATCTCTGTGAGTTCCAGGCCAGCCTGGTCTACAGAGCAAGTTCCTGGACAGGCAAGGCTACACAGAGAAACCCTGTCTCAAAAAAGAAAAAAATAGTAAAAAAAATAAAAATAAAAATAAAAAACCACAGAGGTAGTAAACATAAGCTGGGGAAATGGCTCAGCAATTAAGAGTCCATACTGCACTCCCTAAACTCAATTCCCAGCACCCACCTTGGGTGACATCAAAGGCTGGTTACTTCAGCTCCAAGAGAACCTACACCTTTTACCTACTCAGGCACCCAAACTCGTATACACACACACACACACACATGAACTCATATGTATACACACACACACACACTTAAAAGTAAAACAAAAACAAAAAAAATGTTTTCAGGCTGGAAAGATAGCTCAGCGGTTAAGAGCCCTGACTGCTCTTCCAGAGATCCTGAGTTCAATTCCCAGCAACCACATGGTGGCTCACAACGATCTGTAATGAGATCTGATGCCCTCTTCTGGTGTGCTACAGTGTACTCATACACATTAAATAAATAAATAAATATATTTTTAAATGTTTTAAATTTTAACCAAGAAAACTAAGGTGTAGAAAAGTCAAATGATTATTTATCATACCAAACATGTCTGCCTGAGACTATTTGCTGAGTACTGTCCAAGACACTGTCGAAATTCTGCCAAAGGCACATGCCTTTAATCCCAGCACTTGGGAGGCAAATGCAGGCAAATCTCTTGCGTTTGAGACCAGCTTGATCTACAGAGCAAGTTCCAGGATGGCCAGAGCTACACAGAGAAACCCCGTCTCGAACAAACCAAAACCAAACTAAAAGAAAAGAAAAAGTTCTGGGATTCTCTCATTCATATAGCCAAACTTATGTATAACATATCAATCCTCAGAAGTTCTTAAAACTTTAAAAAAAAAAAATCTCATCAGCCGGGCGGTGGTGTCCCACACCTTTAATCCCAGCACTTGGGAGGCAGAGGCAGGCAGATTTCTGAGTTCGAGAGTTTAAGGCTAGCCTGGTCTACAGAGTGAGCTCCAGGACAGCCAGGGCTACACAGAGAAACCCTGTCTCAAAAAAAAAAAAAAAAAGTGTTTATAAACACTCTCAGGCAGCCTTTATATCTTCTAATTTTCTGAAAAGACACTTTGTTATAAACAATGGCTTTCGACTGTGTTACACTTGTCCGCTAGCTTAGTTTGCAGACTCTCCCTCGGAAGGCTTCCTTTGTTTTCTTTGCTACACCGTTACCATTCCAACAAGCACTTTGTTTCTTTGCTGATCTCAGCAGACTAACCTCTCCCACAACCACACCCACCACCCACACCTAGGCTTGAATCTAAGCAATCATCTGTTCCATTGTGGGAAAACTTAAAACTGGGGACGGGGAGGTGGCTCCAGGAATGCTTAAAAAGCTCTATTTGACAGTAATGGAAAGTTAAGGAGGAAGTGAAGAATTAATTACTAAGCCAGGGTCTAGGAAGGCACTGAAGAAGCCTCTCCTTTGGAACTTTTTTTTTTTTTTTTTGGATAGATGGCTGAGAGAAGAGGGAGGTTTGGTTTTTATTATGGTTTAGTTGCTTAGATTTTTGTTTTGATGAGGGAGGGGGCTATTTGTCTATTGAGTTTTTGTTTTTGATACAGGGTTTCATGATATAGCCTCCTGGTTTGCCTGGAACTCACTACGCAGACTAGGCTAGCTTTGAACATTTTCTTGCCTCTGCCTCCCAAGTACTGTAATTACTGGTGTGAGTCATCATCATCAGCCTTGCTGGAAAATATCTTTAAGGTAAACAATGTAATTTCTACTTTTGCTTTGTTTTATTATAATGTATACCTTACTGAGAAAGCTTCTTTTTAACAGCTCTCTTGTCAAAACATTGAAACTGGCCGGGCAGTGGTGGCGCAACAGGTGGATTTCTGAGTTCAAGGCTAGCCTGGTCTACAGAGTGAGTTCCAGAACAGCCAAGGCTACACAGAGAAACCCTGTCTCGAAAAACAAAAAACAAAACAAACAAACAAACAAAACAAAACAAAAAAACATTGAAACTGTCAGGCATGGTGGAACATGCCTTTAACCCCATGCAGAGGCAGGTAGATTTCTGAGTTTGAGGCCAACCTCATCTACAGAGTTCCAGGATAGCCAGAGTTACACTGAGTAACACTGTCTAGAGAGTGGGGTTGGGGGTGAGGGGTGTGATAGTTTGAATATGTTTGGTCCAGGGAGCGGTACTATTAGAAGGTATGACCTTGTTGGAGTAAATGCTGCACCATGTTTGCCTGGATGCTGCCATGCTCCCACCTTGATGATAATGGACTGAACCTCTGAACCTGTAAGCCAGCCCCATTTAAATGTTGTCCTTTATAAGACTTGCCTTGGAGCCGGGCGGTGGTGGCGCACACCTTTAATCTCAGCACTTGGGAGGCAGAGGCAGGCGGATTTCAGAGTTCGAGAATTCGAGGCTAGCCTGGTCTATAGAGTGAGTTCCAGGACAGCCAAGGCTATACAGAGAAACCCTGTCTCAAAAAAACAAAAAAACAAACAAACAAAAAAAAAACTTGCCTTGGTCATGGTGTCTGTTCACAGCAGTAAAACCCTAAGTTAAAAGGGAACCACTGAAACAAGGCTACATTGAAATTAGACTATAAGCCGGGCAGTGATGGTGCACACCTTTAATCCCAGCACTTG